CAACACCCCGCATATTAACACTATGCATTGTTTTCCTTTTTTTAAGCCGAAGATATCATTATAGTTTATGAAAGCACGTTTGAGAAACAGAAGTCATAAATATATTTCTTATAGAACTTTACAAGGTTAAAGTTTTGTGTATATTTCATATATTGATATTATTTTCCTTTGTTTTTAATAACTCAAAGATATTACTATAATTTGAGAGCCCGTTGGAGAAGCTTTTTGTTTTTAATACCATTTTATCAAGTATCTTTAATTTAACTCAACATTTTGATTGCTTTTTAGTTCAACTTTATTGTTTAAAAATCTTTAATTCAGTTTCATACCTTAACTATCTTAGTTGCACACGTTAAAAATCTTTAATTCAACTTTATAATTTAAGGATTTTTAACTTAAAATTACACTTTGAATATCTTTAACTCACTGTTGCACTATGAAAAAAATATTGAAATATTGCTATTGTAAAAGAATTGCATTATTTGAAAACACAAATGAAATACTCTTGAAAAACATTAAAAATTATTGTTAAAAATGTTACCACTAATATCTTTCAAAAAAAGAAAGAGGTGAATTGATTATTTTGAAATTTTGATTTTTTTAATTATTCAAAATATTTTTTAACACATTTTTAATTTATTAACAAGATGTATGTATGGATAATACTTAATTAGGATGCCTTTTCAATCACTTAGTTTCAAATATATAAGAAAAAAATAGAAAATAATTTTTATACTGGTTGACATACAGTTATTTAACAATTTTAACTAAATTTCCACTATTAAAATTAAGAGGTAAATATTACAAGATGCACCGGTATAATCTCTACTCCATACAAAGAATCTTGAAATAACTCTCAAGAAATACAACCAAAAGCAATGTTTCACATATTTGTTCTAAACTTTTCACTTACACAGTAAAATAGAATGCAAAAGATTAATTAGCAAAAAACAAAATCAGGAAAGAATACACTTGATTGATATCACAATATCACTTAGTGCCAAGCAAGAAACTCTTAGAAACTCTCCACTCTCACTTTCTAATGTGTTTTATTTGAAAAAGAAAAAATGATAGATTTTAAAGATAAAACAAAGTCTAAGAATATTAATAAGTTATGTGAGTTGTCTAATTGATTAAAATGGTTTGTACTTAAATTTCAGAAACAAGAGTTGATTATATAAGTAAACTAATCAATTAAAAGAGAGAGTCTAAGTTTTTTAGCCTTCAGTGGAATAATCAATTATATGTTATACACTAAATCAATTAAAACTCATAGAAAAATAATTTTATTGTTTTTGAATTAACCTCATCAATTACATTATTAACTTAACCAATTTAAAAGAAGATAGTTATTAAAGTTATATATTTAAAAATGATTCAATTTGCACCATAACTAATCTTAATAAATTATATTATAAGATAAAAATGGTTTTTAAGAATTTCTAACTTGGCTTATAATATTTCTATACACAACACCTTCCGCCAAATATATATTTTTTTTCAAAATCTTTACTATGCTAAGCTTGGACATCATAAAAAAGTTGAAACTTAGGCCATTGGAGCAACAATAATGTGTTGGAGTTATAGAAAAAACATACATATTTTCTACTCACCGGATAATATAAAAATATTTTAATGAAAAATTAATAATCATATCTTATAGGGTACATAAAAGAAATTAAAAAAATAGACATTTTCATTTTAAATAAAAAAAACATAAATATTCTTAGTGAAACATTAATACTTACTTGTGAATTCACATAGAAAATGAAAGTAACAATATTCTTTGTGGACTTGTTTGCTTCCACCTATTTTACAATTGAATATGTAAATATGATACAATTGATTGTTGAGGATTTTTCATTGCAAAGACTATGGGAATTGAATGAAAGCCACATTGGGTTATGATTTGTATATGCAAATATAATACAATTGATTGAGTTACACCCATATTTGACTATGGATATTCTTTTACCTTTGTATTATAATAATAATAATAATAATAATAATAATAATAATAATAATAATAATTTAATTAACTAATTAACGAAAATATAATATTGAAAATAATAACTCATAATAATAATTTATTAATGACAGTAGGAACTTGAGTTAAAAATCTTGTTCTATTATTTCTGTTTTTTCAGTTTTGTTGTACTGTTAGGTTGGCTAGCTATATAGTCGATATAGCTGCTACTGATATGTTAATGAAAACATTCACGTTTCTGTACATGTGTTTTTGTATCTTCTCTCTTCCTAAAAAAGTTCTAGATGGTGTCTAGAGCCTATATAGAAGATAGGGTTTGATATAGATGATAGGGTATGGTGGTGGTAAGTGAAAATCAAGAGGATCTTTTGTTGAGTTAGGGTTATTTTGATAATCCAAGAATGAGTGCATTGATGTCAAGAGTGGTGAGATCCCTGTGAAGATTCAATCAAAGAAGGAAAGGAGGATGACTAGAAATGGAAGCATCATCCAAGGAGCTCTACATGTTTTTGATGGGACGATGTTTGACGATTGGCGAATCAAGATGATGACCATTTATGGTTTTCAAGATGTATCGGATGTGATTGTGAGTGGTCTTGAAGACCTTGGGTGGAAGGCAAAAGAGGAAGACAAGAAGAATTTCAAGAACCAAAGAGAAATTACAGACGTTGCGGCGACATTTTGAGTTTCTGAGCATGTAAGAAAATGAGTCCATAGCTGAATACTTTTATAAAACGCAGGAGCACGTGAATGCTATGCGAGCCTACAAGGACATCATCACTGATGACCAACAAGTTGTAGAAAAAATCTTGAGGACTTTGCCTCCAAGATTCGACCATGTGGTAATGGCTATTGAAGAAACGAGAGATCTTGAGGCAATGGAGATAGAAGATTTGCAGCACTCAGTCGAAGCTCATGAGTACATAATCAATGAGAGGAAATTGCATGATATGGGGAGAAGCTGTCAGCACAGCATCATACGTGTTGAACAAATGTCCAACCAAGAAATTGGATGACTTAACACATGAAGAAGTGTGGACAGGTGTCAAACCAAATGTATCACACCTCAGGATTTTTGGTTCTCTTTGCTGGAAACATGTCCCGGATCAGTTGAGACAGAAACTTGATGATAAGGGAGTTCCACAAGTGTCGGTCGGTTACCATTCAATTGGAGGCTACAAACTCTTTGATCCTCAAACTAACCAAGTCTCTTTTAGTAGAGATGTGGTGATTGATGAAGCATCAGAATGGAATTGGAAGCAGTATGCTTCAAGTTCAACTCAATCTAAGGTAATATTTAATGAGTCAGGACCTGATATAGCAGAAAAAAAGTGATCAAAGGTAAAAAATGTGCAGAACATAAATCATGCACGTAAAGGAGGATAAATGATATATATGACTTTCAAGGCGTTTCAATAGAATGATATTTTAATTAGACCATGAAAATTATATGTACAGATGCCACACATTCTTCATAAATTTTGTGCTAGTTTACCTCATCACTACTTTCTTTGTTCTGACGAAATTACATAGAATCTGGAAAATAAACTGGGACAGAGAGGGGAAAACAAAGGTAACATGTTTCTCTCAAATGATTGTGTAGAAAAATACAATTTGAATAATGCCTTTTGTTGTGTCAATCTGATTCACTGAACCTGCATATAATATCTGTATAGTATAAAATATTAACTGAGTGGTTACAAACAACCAACCGGATATTCAGGTAATCTGTTTATATCTTATTCTGTTTATATTTTATTGGGCTTATATCAGCTCAGGATCCATGAGGTAAATTATAAATACAAAGCCAGGGCCAAAAGCCAGGTACCTTCCACTTACGTTCAACTTACTCTACATGACTCTCAAATACTCAATAGTGATAACCATTCACTAAATATTCAACCAAGAGCCGAGGCTCTTCAAATCACACGCCTAACTTGGGCGTCGGAGTACCTTTTGCAGGTACATCCCCCTCGTCAAGAAGGAGACCGATCGGTTTGCGCCAACACCAATCGGCCAACAGGAGGAGTTTGGAAGCGAGCGAGCGGCCCAGACTCGTCAGCAGGTTAGTCTCTCGGTCCCCAAAAGTATCCACTGAAACATTTTCTATTAACGGATCTTGTAATCACACTTGGTCACTCTTCTTGCTTAGAACAATGCTCATATAATTTTCTGCAAAGTTAGAAATATTGAAAAATTCAATTCTTTCTACAATTGCATAAATGACTTTATGCCATTAGGGTATCAGTAATCATGAGTAAGAAATAATAAGCTTCCAACAAGTGTGCTATTCATACTCTTAATAATACATTTGTTTGTAAGTTTAAGTGCCAAATAAAGACCCATGAGATAGTATGCACTCGTTTATCAAGTAGCTCTTATTTCCACATTTATTTCAACGCATTGTCCCGATTGTAAAGTAGCAACAGGTAGCTACTGCTGCAGAGTGAAACACAGCTCCATCACAGTTTACCATAGAAATTTGCCAACACCTTCTATAAAATAATTTATGCAATAAAACAAGTTAGCTAATGGAGTCTTTCCATTTTCTTTGTTCTTATTTTCCTTTCTTAAACATGCTTGTAAGATAGTTTGTCTGACATGTAGGCAACATCATAAAAATGAAAATATGAAATAATTAGACTACAGCTTAAAAAGTTTCACTAAAGATATTGCAATGAAAAACAAAACATGTTTACATTAAACGTGTTTTGTTTTTCTCAATTTTCTATTCTAAGTCGTACCTAATCTTAATCTTTGTATTTAAAAATGAGGATTTTGGATCTTATACTTTCACAATTTGTGAATTTGTAGAATGAGCGAAATTCAGAATTATAAAAAATGTAAAAACGGAGATTATTTATTATTGTAATGCAATAGAAAGTAAATAAAAGTAAATTGCATAAAAGAAAAATGGGAAAGTGAAGTCACGTGAGGTTTAGAGGATGGGAGTGGAAACGACGTGTCGCTTGATTCAGAAGGGAAGTGCAATGGAAGGTGCGAAAGAAATGCATAAAACTGGTCGGTTTTAAGGTAGGGCTTGTGTTTGGTAGAAGAGTGTTAGAGAGAAGAGTGAGTGAGCGAGGAGTGAGTGTGTCTGTGAGTGATTTTATTCGGATCGATCGAGTGTTCTATTCCAATGGCATCATCCAATTCCACTCAGCAAGATGTCAACAAACCTGCCAAGAGAAAACCCGTCTTCACCAAAGTCGATCAGCTCAAACCCGAAACCAACGGTCACACTTTAGTGGCTAAGGTCTTGTCCTCCGACACCGTCGTGCACAAACCGCGACCTTCCTCTGCCCATAACATCAAACCCACTGTCATCGCCGAGTGCCTCATCGGCGACGACACCGGCACCATCATCTTCACCGCTCGCAACGAACAAGGTACTCCAATTTCGCCTACCCATCCTCGTAAAGCTTATTCTTTTTTACTTATTTCAATTTCCCTTTTATCAAAACGGAAACTTTCCACACGGGCACTGTTTTATTTGTCTCAATTTTGTGTTTTTATTTTCATTTTGGGGTTTTCTTTTTGCGATCCGCATTGTTCTTGGGTTTGTGAGATTGCGCGTGTTTGGTGCCCTGCTTTCAATAAAGCATCTGGGCCAATGATGGTGGTGAGTGGATCATGAGTGCCTGATTCCATGGATAAGATAAGCCTTTCTTCTCATATATTATATTGGTTTGACTGCGTGATACCTTAATCCTTTTTAATCCGGTTGAAATCTCCTTCTTTTTCTTTACTGATCTTACTCCAAGAGGTTTGATTCGGTTCTATAATGTGTCAACCGGCGTAGATTTGGTAAATTCTCGTGCTTCTTGCTCTGCTCTCGTGATGAAGACTGTATTTCCTCTTCCTTGAGGTGTTGATACGAACTATGAATATGATTTGAGATGCTGGGTGAATTTTTTGGGGGAATGAAAGTGTGATTAATATTGTTCCTTTTTTGTGTTTTGCGATTACAAAGAAGTTTTGCTTAGAAGGTGATAGTAACGATCTTAGGTGTCTTCCTTTTAACTTTATATTCCTAACTCAAATTACTTTTATCAAAGTGTTTTAGTTTATGCTTGTCTGCGCCAAGTTAGTTATATTTTTCCTGGTCCAACTTTTTTTGTTAATATTTCTCTTGCTTTTTCTTCATCTATATTGTTCATGAATCACGGGATTGTTTAACCAGGAATGACCTTGTCGTTACCTTAGTACTTAGTACTTCTTGATTAATCTTGGCTTCTTTCAAACTTATGGGTTTTGACTTAAATGTTATCATGCCTTCCCGGATGAACAACATCTTGATTTTATACTTTTCCAGATCCACGTTCTTGAATAACATCGGTGCCTTCTGTTTTTATACTTCATCAGGAAGAAAATAGGAGTTGAATTATGAAAATTCAATGTATATAGACAGAATATTGATCTGACATTACTTATTTTCACTCTTTTCTCCTTCTTTCTATTTTGAACAGACAAAACCTTGAGTGATGAGTTTAATTTTTATTTGAGCATTTCATACTATGCAAGTCTGCATGTATGAGCATTTGCATTTGCATAGAGTTTCAGTTGATTTCGTTTAGTGAAAGTTACCTTGATGTACTTCCTTGGTAGGTAATCAACCTACAGGTATTGATAATTCATATAAATGTAGGCAGAGATCAAGGGACTAATATATGTTATATGTTTAAGTTATTAGATGACCTTTTCTTCTGTGCAGTTGATTTGATGAAGGCTGGTTCAACTGTAATTCTTCGTAATGCAAAGATTGACATGTTCAAGGGATCAATGAGGCTGGCTGTTGACAAATGGGGGCGTGTTGAGGTAACTGAACCTGCAGATTTTGTAGTTAAAGAGGATAATAACCTATCCCTGGTTGAATATGAATTGGTGAACGTGGTTGAAGAATAATCCCGTCGAAGAGTGCAAGAACAGCTTTATGATTTGGTTATGGTGCATTGGATACCCCCAAAGGTAAAACTTAACTGGTGATGGATGGTTGGTAAACGTTCTCACTTTAATTAGCTTGTATTTCCCCTTTAACATGCTTGTCATGATTTTGGGTTAAGTTGATGTCTCTTGAACAACCTTGTGTCAAGCGAACAAGATTTGCTATTATCTTCATCAGCAACTGTATTCAATGAACATATAGTATTATGTTAATATAGTTATCCGTATCACATGTTTCTTTGCAGTTTCCTGTGCATCGATATACATAGGTATGCCTGTGTTTGAGTTAATGAAGCAGCGCAATCATTATTCGTATCTTTGGCTCAAATAAGAGAAGACAGTGCTTTAAAAATTGGGTTAAAGTCCATAATTTCTGTTTCTTCTGCTAATGAAATTCCATGACCAGTGTCATTCGTGCTCACAATATGTTTTTTTTTTGGTTGTGTACGTCATAACTTTTTTCCATGATAAAGAATTTTGTTCACTATTAGTGTATTGATTATGAAACTTAAGAGGCGATTGAAAATTTAAATTCTCATAAGTTTTTTTTCCATGATAAGGAATTCTGTTCCGTAGTAGTGTCTTGAATTATTAAAGTTAAGAGGCAATTGAAAACTTAAATTTTCATAACATACTAAGCAGTCTTTTGGCTTCGAATTAGAAGCTTATACCAGAATGTTAAAAATTTGTTGTCTGAAAAGTCACGTATATGTATGCCCATTCAAATCTATTGGTTTGATAGCGTAGAAGCTTATATTTCTTTTCTAAATGTTTATTGTTAATTCATCTTTGTATAATGCAGATTAAACACATGCGGTGTATTTTCTTCTCATTTGATAAAATCAGAAGGCACGCTGTTGTCTATTGTTTGTGAAAATGCACAAATAAACCTTTGTATGATAATTATTAAATTTCAAAGGTTATATACCATGTCAACCTAAAATTCGCAAATCTTGATCCTCTCCAGTCGCATCGAACATGGAAAATTATAATGAATTCAACATCTGAATTGATTTATAATTTATGAAAATCCACCATCCCCAGATACTGAACCGAATCTGATATTTTTCCATCTCCTCGACCTCTTCTCTACCGCACTACCTTCATTATATGAAAATGGGCGTGCAATTAATGTAGTTTGGTAAACGAGAGCTTTGGGAAGACGTTAAAAAAGGCGATGTTGGAAATGAGTGATGATAGATATGACACTAATTTGCATTTCCGATGTTGAGGTCAAAACAACGGTGGGTGAGTCTACGGTAATAAATGAAAATCAATTTTAACTGTTTGTATATTTCATTAATTTACATCTATCTGCGTTAATGATTCAGATTATGTATTCCAACCTTCAATTGAAGCCCTCTTACTCATTTTAAAAAAAATTAACTGTACGTACATGAGGTAACTTGGTTCATGAAAAGGTTATTTTCATTCTCTTTCTGTTTTTCTTTTCTTTTCTAAACTCTCTTCCAGCTGTCAAAATATATCAAGTGTTTTAGAAAACTCTTCTAAGGCAAAACGTTCAGTATTTTATCTTTTTCTGATCCGGAATTGTTATTTATAATCAGTTATTCTTCTTAAGGTTATAATGAAATTTTTTAAACTCGTGTCTTCAATTCTTGTTTATTTTTTCTTCTATTATTTAATTTGTGAATTATCTTCACGTCGATTTGGCTGGTTTTGTAAAGAATTTAATATATCGAATGAATATCAATCAGTGAAGTATCAACCGTATAATGTTATTTGGTAAATTCATTTGAAGCGGGACACATGACTCCTCGACTAACTGTCGACAATTTTTTCAAACTTCAACTTTCCAAGTTATATGCTTTTAAAATATGAAAAACCGTGAGTGAGGGCATTAAAATCAATTAATATAACAACCTATATCCTGATGATAAAGCGTTCAACTTAATAACGAATATGATTCCTACTTATTCAGTTATTGAAAACGTAAAAGATAGGTTGTATTTTCATCAATCAAAGGTAAAATGAAATGTGAAACTTTTGACAATAGGATGAAAGATTGATTGGTCTAGCAAGGTAGGCAATGAATTTGGATTCTTTGCAGGCCTTCAATTAAAGTGCTCGTTTGCTTTTATATTTTTCATATCTTATGTTTGGCATTTCGTTCGCGAGCATAATTCCACTCCGCCAGAATAAAAAATCACACTGACAAAAGTTCCAGTTAATGAATTCTTAACGCACATGCTTGTTCGTGTAACATTTTAAAACAAGGGTGATAGTAACGTTTGCAAGCACTGGGAATAAATCCCATTTCCAATTACAGGGTGAATTATCGTAAATCGCAGGTAAAGAAATGTTTGCAATAATGTTCTAAAGAGTAATCATACCTAAGCATGGTTCCAGCTCCGGTGCTTGTACAAGTCAAGTCTTGGAGGTTTCATATTCGACCAAGGACAAAAAATCTCTAACAAGGCCTAACTAAGTAAACTGAAATCCACGGAAAGTAGGAGCAGATGCACCGCACCCACAGACAGCAATCATCATCCATCTAGAATTAAAAAAGAAAATATCTTTGAGAAAACTCAATTTTACATACAAAATCAGAATCAAAAGGTCAAGATAATCTAATAGTCATCCATAGTATATTAGTAAATTTAAAATGCAAATCGTTTAGATACAGGAGCAAAGCAGAATGGAAATGACGAAACATTACATGGCTAGTCCTCAAGCCTAAAAGCCAAAGTGCAAATGATCACGACCCTAGACAAGGAAACAGCCAAGTCAAAATGAGGAGTTGCAAAGAGCATGTATAAAAAAACTTTGGAGCACCAGCATATTAAAAAGAAGTCATTTCAACACATTGCTCATTTTACACAGAAGTGTTAAATTTTATACATTCCAAAACACGTGCTGACAGACCAGCATCTGGCATCATTCCGGAGATTATTAACAATTTCCAAGCCAACAAGAACTGCAATTCTAAAATTACGGTTAGCAAAATCTCCAGTTTGCCTCAATGACACTCTAACATCGCAATAATGGCTTTTTGCACCAGCAAACTATATAAGAAATAGCTGATTTCTGTATTGAGGTTGATTTAAAATTCTATGTATTCTTAGTGACTGGTAGTTTGCATAAGTGTGGTTGTTAATGGATGATGTTAAACTTCATGCATGAACAAAAATCATTCCCATACATAAACTCAACATCTTAGAGTAAGAAATCAAAATGCAGAGTATGCACCCAAATAGTAACCATAAATCAATATCGAAAACCAATTTTAATGTGGAAACAAACTATTGCTAAGTTTGAGTCATTTATACACTTTTAGCAAATGCCTGTTTGACGTTAAGGTGTACAGTAACAATTAAAAATCTCAAACGAAAAATTTACTTGACCACCTTTTTTCAAGCGCATCTAGATAAAACTTGTGCTCGAACCCTCTGTCATTCATCATACATCATCATTGCAATCTGAGTGAATACAATCAATCAGTATGATCTTCATGTGATTATCTCTTAAGTGAATGTTAGCTAATATATAAGTCTAGACATTTTAAAACATTGTATGCACTAAATGCGACAATCCATAACACCTTTTCTAAGAGAAAGAGCATAATTGCCCAATAACTCAAAATGAAAAATGTCACGAGAAGTTGTTGCGGATAAATTAAACATAATAATCAGGGAACTTCTAAGAAATACCATTGAATAACACCATAGCTCCCATATTAGTTTTCATGAGATATGGTGCTCATTTTTACATTCAACTAAGAAATTTCATGCTCTCCCTAATCTACAGAGGTCAAGTTCTCAATTCTTCAAAAAAACCAAAATTTGAAACAAATCCATGTGACACCATCTCTGATGCTTGATCTTCATCTAGTCTTCTCTTGCCCTACAAAGAGGAAAAAATATACATCCTTTCATTGTGAGAGCAAGAGAGAGAACCTAACCCAAAAAACGAAATGTTTGAACAGCAAAATAGTTGCCCACATGCACCCAACACTTTCATTTAACACAGTCTGTTCACACAAACCTTAACTACCACACAGAAAGGGGACAACGCACGACAAGAAAACACTTTTTATTTAGCAAAAAGTTTAAATCCTATTTTTATGCAACCCAAGAAAAAAAGGAAGAAAGAAGTATTTCACTGTGGCATGGCGTAGTAATGAAAGTAATGCGTCAGACTTTCGCAGGGTATAAATAAGTTTTCTGGGAAACCTAGAAACTTTGACAATTCGCATAACGCAGCATGTATAATCCATGGAGTTTGGCTAACAAGATATGATTTTTGTTACAGAAGTCAAAATGGCGTAGAGAAAAAACTTTCACTCCTTGATTCTCTAGACCGAATAACCATCCATCAAATAAAGAAAAAAAAACAATTAGAATATATAATTCACAAGCCAAGTAGAATGAGCATGTTTGCAGACAATCGGGTAGGTCCAGTAAGTTACAATAACATTTAATTTCATTTCATTTCAGAATCCAATGTTGGCATTTGATAAACTTAGCTCTTCTATCATATGTATCACATACACATCCAACAAAACTACGTCGAAGATAATGGGAGGAAAGTGTTTGGAGGGAATACCTTCAGGGGTCCAACCATAGGAGTGGCGAGACACAGAGAGCATCGAATTCAGCAATGCGGAAGCAGTAGCACTGTGATAAGGAAGCATCGATTCCAAGCAGAAACTCGCTTCTACCGGTAACCTGTCCCAAACAAAGAATGTTTTAATCAAATTGAAAATGTTTGGAAAATGCGATCGAGAGGAGCAGTGTTACCTGAAAACGCGATTCGAGATTGAGGTTTGCTTTGGGAGACGAAACGGAGATCGTGCCGGTCTCGTTCTAGCTCCGGCTGCGAGATTGGCCGCACCGGCAGCGCGGGACGTGGCGGAGCGCAACAAACACCTGGCGGCGGACATCGTGAAGAATCAACAGAAAGGGGTTTTGGCCTTCTGGGGTTTTGATATTTCCGTTTTACTATTTTTTTTGTTACTATTTTGTTAAAGAGTCATGACATGGGTCACCAGTGTCTGCATTTCTTTTTGCACCCATGCATTTCTTTTGCACCCACATAAATATATAACGTTTTTTTATAGGTTTTGTATTTAAGAAGGTCAAAGTTGATTTTGATTTGGAAGTTATTATTTTGCATAAAGAAGCTTCTATATTGTATATTTCAAAAGGTATTTTTGAATTGTAAATTACATAATTTGAAAATTATTTATTATTTTTAAATTATATAATTTGAAAATTAAAAATG